GCTGTCCCTGTTGACATCTTACAGCATATGTTTTACATAGACACAAACGCATGCCGTCTGTGCTACCAGTAGAAATGAAGGATCAAAATCATTTCCCACTGAAACTCTCCCCAAGGAAACATTTTTCCTTTTGAACTGTCTCATCTCTGTATTGCTTTGTATCTCAGTAGAGTAACACCATGGGCAGCCTAGTTGCTGTGGCCTTTTGACTGCCAACTTCAACAGAAGCCACTACACAAATCTGGTTTGCCTGTGATAGCTTTGCTCCAGTCTATGCGCTGTACTGCAGGGAAAAGGACATCTGAGAGGCAAAGAGGGCTCAAGGGGAAGGCAGTAATGAGGATTACCTGGACATATGGACATTGAGAAATTAATTCACACCCAGTCTTAGACTGTGCTTGGGATAAAATTCACTTTATATAAGCAAGAACTTTCTCCTCTCCTGTCTCTCCACACAACCGTACACAGATCATTTAACCCTCCCCTCTTGATAGCCTCACTGCTGACCTCTGTGCTAGGCATAATCCTATTCTTGTTTTTTATGGCTGTCTGCAATTAAGAGATGCCTCGTGTATTTTATGCGTTACATATGCAGCCATAGACGTTCATCTGTGTACATAGAATAGGGCCAAATCAGAAACAACAGAAAAAGAACCACTTTTAATATAGTCTGAGACACTTCATCTCATGTTACCAATTTGCACAATATCCATTAAGGAACTTCTTTTAGCAGTTCACATAATCTAATGGAAAGAGAATTCAGATATGAAATTCCACAATTCAGCGCCACAGTTCAAGCTGTTACTGAATAAAAATCTTACTGTGGGAGTCTACAAAGCAGAATCCTCGTTACCTTTTCCCAGTGTAGTCACTGTCACCCACCTACACGGAAACCAAACTCCTCGTTCTAGTTTATGTAGCCATTATATTCTCTTAAGTATCTGGCTGACATTTCCAAATAGCTTAACCAGATGAAGGGAAGAAAACACTCTGGATTTAAGAGGTCTTTTTGGTAAGTATTAATATGAAGGAGAATTTCCTGCATACATGTTAATTGACATATATAATTAACTCGACAAAGTGACTGTTAGCAGATGAGGGGGTTCTTGTGACATGACTAGGCTGGTTGGACTCTGGTTTGTAGATGTACTTGCTAGTCACAGAAGAGAGGATTCACAGGGACAAAACAGTATTTACTTAATTTATAACAATACATACGATGTTCCCATCAAAACATTATATTCTCACTTAACATAAAGGTTGTGGGCAGCACTTCAGAAATCTCTGCAGAACACTCACATCTACTGTATTAGTCCCTTTTAACCTGTCTAAACCATGATACTCACTAGAAAATTCCGTCTAGGGGGAAAGAGAGTCTGGGCATTTTTTAGTGTTAGCAGTCATCACTGATGGCATTTGCCCTTGTGATTAATAGAAAGGCTGATTTTGGACAATATTTCCAGTTAAAACAGTGAGAGAGTTAACTTCTCTCAAGAGGTTAGGGCTAGATGGCAGCCTCGTAGCCAACCTACTACAATTTTGAATATGTTTGCTGCACATTGTTTCTGCAGTATCCACAGGACATCTCCGGTGGTTTGCGGCAAGGTAATTAAGGTGGTGTTAAGAAATTCATTTTACTGTTTGTGACCCCTAGCTTTCAATTAACTTCATCTGCAGGCTTTCAGCATGAATCTGGCACCATGTAGAAGAGACGTTGTAGCTGTCAAGTCAGTGACACGCACATTTACTACCCTCTAAGGAGCCCTTGCCAGGCCAGACCATAATGGCACCAGGGGAGCCATTACAGCCCACAGGTCACTGCAGGCTCGAAGTCTCTTAAATACCAACGTCTGAGTGATGGTTCTGTGCTGTCTTAGCCCTGCCTGTTTGTAGTGCCAGGAAGCCATTCTCATCAACTTAATTACGTATTTTGAATTATGAATGTGAATTTCATGGGTTTTGAGCATTTAATGGTAGACATTCTTTTCTAGAGGTAATTAATTTTTTGCCATTTTATTTTAGGTAAATGTCTAAAACATGGCTGCTTTCCTTTTTTGGTACCTTTAACTCTTACCCCTCTGCAAACACTAACAAAACAATGCGGTTGTTTTCGTTTTTAATGGATCATGTTCATTATAAATTACAGGAGGAAAACCTTGAAATAGAAAAGCACGGAGTTACCAAGGGTTCCTTCAAATCGCAAGAAACCATAAGCAAGGCAATTGTGTAGATTTGGTTTTGTGGGGTTTCATTTGGGCTTCTTTTCTTTTTTGATCAGTTCAAGTATTCCTCAAGCCTCAGTCTGCATTGAATGGTAACATATTGAATCTGTTCCTTCCTCACTCAAGGCTTAAGCTCAATCTAATTATTGGCATATGTCAATTTTGGCTGTTTTCAGGGGGTACAGAGAGAAGTAATTTACCTTTCCCTGCATTTTTAGTTTCATAATGTGATGATGTCAAAACAGAGGATTACAGCCCTTTTTTGAAAGCATAAATTCTCCTTGCAAATAGTTAGTGTCTCTTTGATGCCCCAAGCACGGAAGACAGAAAGGCTAAGGCAAGATCAGAGATCAGCATCCAACCCTGCTGTGAAAGGAATTAGGAAAGCTTTGGATAAGCAATGAAAATATCACTGACATGGTAATAAGCCCTGTATAATTCCAGCAATAGACATCTCTAGCTATAAATTCCAGACGCAACTTTCTCAATTTCAGGACTATTCCCACTTCTCTACAAAACCTGGGATTCATAACTCTACCCCCCTTGTTACTGAATTTGCACTGTAAGAGCTCCTGTACTTACATTCATGGCTCTTCAAGCAACACGGGACTGTGGTGGAGTCCTGTCTCAGGCCTGAGTCTGCTCTCAAACAGAGTTATTGTGCCTCTAGAGCAACTCTCCCAATACCAGCAAGGAAGGGTGGGCTCTTACAGGAAGAGTGAGAAATGGTCTGGACTGTTTCTCCCTCTCTCTAGTGAAATAGGAAGGAAAAAGGAGAAATGCACCTATATTCGCTCCCGGCAGCCAGGAGGGAGAAAATGATCTGTTTTACAATAAAAACCCAAGCCACTTTCAGGACGTCACCCATAACGTTTCTGTGATATTTTTCCCAATGACATGACGTGGTGCGACATGGTCCGTATTAAGTCAAACAGTTTCAACTATTGCATACATCTGCTAATGAGTACAAAACAGATCAGAAAATGGACGAACCTGAAAAATGTGTCCACTTACTCTCTGCTCTCCCAAACGCTTTTTCTTTAGGTCCCACTGGAAGGCTCTCAGTTACGGGAAACAGGGTACAGAGCATTGATCCTATGCACAGGATAAATGACAGAGACTACATGGGCTGGATGGATTTTGGACGCCGCAGTGCTGAAGAATACGAATACTCCTCCTAAAGAACAGCAAACTATAGCAACAGAAAAAAAATCACACTCCCATGTCTGTACAGAAAGAGAAAAATTAATTTGTTGTCCTCTTCAAATCAGTGTTTTAAAATATATCATGTATTTGATGTAAATTTGTCTGTAAGACTATACAATGCAATATATACATATGCAGAATTTTCCAGAAAATGTTTTCTTTCTTTTGTGGTTTCTCATACACTGATATTATATTAAAATGATTTCACTTATCCCTTCTTGTCCTGTCACTGCATGTTGCTGGGTGTCTTACTATAAAGAGAGGCAGGAAAACGCCTTCATTTTACAATATAAATATATTCCATGTGCTGAGTAGTCAGACAAATGAGCCACTTTTTAGAGAAATCTTGTGACAGTCCCAATAGCTGTGAACTCTCAGGGGAACTCGTCCAGATACAAACGCAACAGCACAATACTGCCAGAAAAGGCCAGCCATCTTCGTGGTGACCCCATTTGTAAAGGACTGAGTTATACACTAAGCCCACCAGTGTTTGTAGTGAATAGTCAAACAGCGCTAAAACCAAAAGAAAAAGAGGAACGACACCAACACGTTTCACCTTCCTGGCTTATTTATTTTACATTGTGAACTAAATGTGAAAGTTCTGCTGACGGCTGCGAATCATGGGATAAACACAGCATCAGCCCCTTGCCGTGTGGTGAGCCGAGCGTTCATTCGGGGAGGGCGCAGGGAAAGCTCCCTGAACGGAGCAGAAGATGATCCTGAGGGAAGGGGGAGGAGGCGTCGGAGCAGCCTAGTCACAGGGTGCTAAAAGGAAACGGGTCGCTCCCGAGTATCAGAGAGGCAGCTATCGCCCGCCAGCGTGGGGAGAAGGAGGGAGACTGTGCCCAGCCCTTGCCTGGCAGAGCGCAAGGCAGAGGGCCCCGCGCTCGCAGCCGGGCTGTGATCCCCGCTTGTGCAAAACCGGCACCCTGGGGGCTGTCCAGCGAGTCCCCTTCGCAGCCGTTCCCGCCTGCCGTGGGCAGGCTGAAAAAGGTGTTCTGCCTGCACTCTCCTCCTTCTCCCAGGTAACCCCTCCTGCGGCTCCTGGGTCTGCCTCAGCAGCTGGTTCTCACATCTAAGGAATTCCCTAAACTGAAAAAGGAGGTGATTTTTGCATCGCATAATTCACAGAATTTCTCCTCAATATGTGCATGAATAAGAAAAGGAGTGCATTTTTCACATGCTGAAAAGCAGGTGCTCGCCAAAGGAAAGAGGCAGGTGAATAATCTCTGTAGCAGTTTCTACAGCAGTTAATAGGCAAAAACAATGCAGAGAAAATAATACACAGAAAATATTTGTACTAAACCAAAATTCTACCAAAACCAAGAAGACTGGGAAACAAAACAAAATGGTTACGCCAAGGGCTGAACACAAAAACATTTTGAGGAGTTGTTCCCAACAGCAGCTGGGAGAACAGACAGCACCACAGAAATCTGTAAGGAAAGGGAGACTTCAGCAAATGGCAACGGGGAATTTTCTTCTCTAGTAACATCACATCTCCCTTTTTGTGGATCTCATCTTGAAAATATGGAACTGCTTTTCTGCATGAATTTTCCTTCCTCTCAAGCTCCTTCCAGTCAACCAGTTTCCAAGCCACCTAGTCTGGCTTTTTTTGGTTCCTTTCCAAATGTAATGAGTCCCAAAACACCTGAATTCTCTCCTCATTTTTGACTTTGCCCACAAGAAAACAGTCCAAAGTGCCCATTTTTCCAAAACTTTCAAACGAGATTAAAACTCATTAATCTATTTTTTTTTAAACTGAGGAAAATACAAATTAATCTAAAAATGCATAGATTAAAACATTTCCCACCAAAGTGATGTTTCTTTAAAAGTAACTTGGGAGAAAACTAAGTTTCTACCTTGCTGTCTTTTAACTTAATGACAGGAACGTTCAAACAACATTTTAAAATGTTTCTATCCCTGGCTTATTTATGGAAGGAGGTACTATTGTAATGTTGCAGGGCGGGGGGCGATATTCCAAATCTAGCCTTATTACTGGGGAATGTTGTCATTAGGAAAAAAACCAAAGCTTTTTTTTCTCCTCTGTCTCATTCCGTCCAGGCAGGGGAATGGAGGGACAAAGAGGTTTCCTCCCGTTACTCTCTCTTCTGAAGGCCCCCGAAGATGTCTATGAAAGTGTGTGACCCTCAGTGCAGCCGGGTGACCGTTTCGGGGGCTTTCACAAGTCGCTCCCCTGCTCCCCCGGGACAGGGGCAGCTCTTTGTTGCCTGCCACACATAAAATGGTTTCACCACCTGGCTGCTCACAAGGCTCCCAGGTTAAGAGGAGCCCCACAGCCCCATCCTTTGTGGTGCAAAACTCCTGCTCATGGTCCCTGGGGTGGCTGGGGGGACTTCACTGCCCTTGCAGTTACCAGGGTTGGACTTTCTGTATCCCCAACAGGTGAATAACTTCCAAGGCACCATTCCCAGGCATAGAATAACGCTACCACCCCTGCCAAGCTACCACCACCATTGCCTTTGACCAGCCATTTGCTCATTTTAAATCACAAAAATGCCAATTACAGAAAAAGTAGTTTCACCTGTGAAATCTGCTTTCTCCTTGTGATATGATTGCAAGCAAAGTTTGTCTGGTTTCAAAAGTGATTAAAAGAAAGCACTATTTTTCTTTGCCAGCCCACCGCCAGCGTGACATTTGTAAGTAATCACATCTGCCACCTTTCCTGGACGCCGGAGAGCTTCAGACAAAACTTGGTCTAATTTTTTTTACAGTCACTGTGCATGCCGGTTTTAATATTCAAGCTGTACCAGTGCTGTAAAATAAACCAGGGGAATAAAGGGACTTGCGGTTGTGACTCACCTGGCATCCAAATGAGGACTGAAAACATACATAATTTCATCTCATTTGTTTTCCCTATCTCAGGACTGAAGGCTTTAAGCCAGTCAGTACAGGTAAATGGGGGCCCTCTTCTGACCGGGCATTGAAATAACTATCAAATGAAAGTGCGCTTTGCAGGCGGCCTGGTCCTACCACTGTTTGCTGTGTTTGCAGATGCTTCTTGAGTCCACCCATCCCTCATCCTTTTAGCAGAAAACAGCTTCTTACTAAACCTCACCTGGATTTCAGGCAAGCGTTGAACTGCCTAGCCCTGACAAATCCGCATGGAGACGCACCCCAAGGCAATGCAAAGCTGCACAACCACAGCCCTGCTCAGGTGAGGCATCCTCGTGGAGCGGGAGCACCGGGCAGGGAGCCAGGCAGGATTGCAAGCCAGGACCTACAGGGCTAAATTCTGCCAGAGCCCCTCTTTACCACCTAAAACCCAGCTCAGGACTAACATTGTTTTTCGGTGGTGCTAAGATACAAACTTGTAGCTGCAGGGGACATCTCTTCTTCATTCTTAACACTCACGGGAGAACTGGTTTGGGGACAATTGTAGTAATCATTAAGATAAGAGGAACTGTTGCTCTAGGCACAGCACTGTTCCTGGATGCAAGGGGAGGCTGGCTGCAAGCCAAGCAGCAACGTCCTCCTCCTCCTCCTCCTCTCCAACCTCCCATCTGTCCTCCTCCTCCTCCTCCTCCTCCTCCTCCTCCTCCTCCTCAAAACATCAGTCACCTGCTCCTCCGGGAACAGAAGAAATTTCCCAGATGGGAAAAGGTTGTAAAGGCTGCTGAGACATTGTTCAGCTCCCACCCGACCCGGAGGTGCTAATTGGAGCTAAACAGGGCAGACAGCAAATTCGGGAAAGTCAAGCAGCCCCGGTAGCTGAAATGCTCATCCCAGGGCATTAGTGAAGCCACTCTCCAGGCTGCTCTCTTTCAACCCAAGGGAAACAGCAGCCTCAAGGATGGAGCCCCTGCCGCTGGGTATGAGACCCTTGAGTCCAGCAAAGGCTTTGGGCTGAGAAGTCCCCTGCAGATTTCAGCACATGCAGCAGCGCATTGGCATAACCTCCTGGTGCTCGTCTGGGAGGTGAGTTTCCCAGCACTGCCAACTCTCTGACATTTAATTTAGCTTTACTCGAATGCATCTTTATGGAAGGACATGCGTAGGGGCTAAATTATCACTGGCAAAATAGCAAATCAATACCTTTTTGCATTTAAAGACAGTTTGTTTTCTCCGTGTGCTTGATTCAATTATTCTGTTCCAGCTTTATTAACTTAATTTTGAAACAGGTGCTGGACAAATCTTCGTGAACAGAGCAGCTTACTGCAAACCCCACGCAAATGAGTGGGGAAGAGCCTGTGGCTCTGCCTTTGCAGGGCCATGCATATGGCAGCCATGAAAAAAGGGTAGAAGCGGCAGGTGCTTCTCCTGGGAGTGAGGGGAAATCCAAGCAGCGCCCCGAGAGCGAGGCACCTCTCCCTCCGAGCTGGGGCAGCGCATAAGAGAAAGCTCAGCTATGTCAATGCACCTGATCCTGAACAGTCTCGTCTGCCCTGCTATTTCATATGCTTTAAACAAAAAGTGCTAAAACCAAAAAAGCAGCACGTGGATCACAGAGCCCAGTGGTCGGCTATTAGGAGACACTGGAGCTGATTCTGGTTTTCCAAGGTGAGCTTGCCTGCCTGCCCGCCCATTGCACCGCAGTCTCCTCTCACGGCAACATGTGCTGCGTGACAGGATTGCGTGTGGATCTTGCTCTGCTCTCCCACGTTTTGCTGCATCACCGGCCCCTCCGTCCTCGCTGCACGGGGGGCAGCATCCAGGCTGGGCCGGGGACACGCCGCAGCCAGATGTTCCCAGCTGCAGACCAGCTCTGCGCATTTCAGCGAGCTGCAGCGCCCCAAGCGCAAACCAGGTGGTCCCTCTCCGCAGCCTGAGCTGAGGAGTTTGCAATCAGACAACATGTGAATTTTATGATGTCCTAGCAGAGCAGTGAAAGGCTTTTCTGTGTGTTTGATTTTTGTATCCCCCGAGTTCATTAAATTTCTCTTAAAGAAAGAAAAAAATCTGGCTGTGGGCTTTTTAGAGCTTTAATCATTCTTAAGGGCCTGTGTCAATTGAACAGCAATTGGATTCAGCACAGCTTGAAGAAACATGGCTGCAAACCTGTTTGAGCAGGACAAAAACCTCTATAATCTTTTAAATACAAACATTATCGGCTTCTTGAGTATATGCCATTCTCGCATGAAAGCCCACTGCCTACATTACAGCTAAGGGCATTGCTAAACACCAATAACTTTCAGGCCTTTTATTATTTTTCTTGCTATTCTGTGGTCTCAATTGGCTTGTTAACTGAATTAA